GATTCGTAGATGAAATTGAAATATCTAAAGATCGATGTGGAAGGTAATGAGGCTTGTTAAGAGGTTTTGTGGTTGGAAAGAGTTTACAGCCTCGATTAATGAGGCTTTTTATTGTTATTTCACTTTGAGTTTCATTAGCTTCGAGCTGAAAATGTTTTAAATTTTTCACTTTCCCTGTTTTCATAAAAGTATTTCACAAAATTGGCATTTTTTTAATCTAAAGTGACTATTTAAGCCAGCTTTTGATTCACTCATTGGAACAGTGACTTAATCATTTGATGAGTTGATCTTTTCCAGTTCAATTATCTGATTCCATTTGTTGATCTTTTGATTAACAATCCATTTCTTTTTACATTCAGTTATAACAACAAATTTTTTAAGGTCAACCTGTTGAAGGATGGAGTTGAGTTGAATTTGAACAACTGAAAAATGTTTGGTTATAAGTTGAACTGAAAAGGGAATCATAAAGTGGTCAAGTAAACATCAACAATTTGAGTTTTCTGTTGACACAAGAACCCTTTCAATAGAGTTCACTCATGGATATTATCAATTATCATGATTCTCATCTTGTTGGTTCAACACTGGATGGAAATGGAGTAAAACTTGAAATATTATATAATAATAATAAAAGGTTGAAATGGATAAGAAACAAAATTGAGTTGAAACTAATAATACATTTAATACAAGATGAGGTACAAATGTAAATAATACACTTTGAAAAGGAAAGGGTGGAAAAGAAGAGGAAAGGAAAATGTTATCTTTTTCAGGATGAAAACCAAGAATGATGATGAATCCATGAAAGAAAAGTTGAAATGATAAAGTCTTAACTCATCTTTTTTTGCCCACTTTTATTTATCCCTGTTTTTCAACTCACAATTGCTATCAATCCCATTTTCAATCTTATTGGTCTCCAAAGGCCTTTTTTGTTGTTTATTATCGTTTCAGCTTTTACTATCGTTTACAATATTATTTGGTTTACAAAATGTTTACCATGCAAATATTAGCATACAAATTTCACCTGAAACTCTTTATGAACAAGAAACTCATCAACAATGGAATCCACAGTAAATTGAATTGATTTTAATTCCAACTTGGATTCTTTTCTATTCTCTTTTTTTTCTTGAATCTCTATTTTTCGCTTCTTTTTACGCCTTTACCTTTTTCTTTTGCATTTTCATTCACCTTTTCAGGTTTGATTGTTGATTGTGATTTACCTTTTGCTTCGTTTTATTGTTGTTCAATTTTGTGGTTTCAATTATTAAAATTAACATTTCTTAATGTTTACTTGGGATTTGATATAAAAAAAGGTTGATTAATGTTGCTGATCAATTTTTGTTTCCACTTTTACTTAACTTTCCAATTATTTTCACAGAGTTTTCACCTTCTTTTCCTGGTTCCTTGTCTGCTTTCTGTACTTTAAATTAATATTTTTCAATTTAACATTCATCAATATTTAATATTCAATCTCGTTTTTACATTAATTATGATTATCATTGAAACTGACATTGGATAGACATGAATATCTGATTTTGTTTACTGTGTTGTTACCAATTTACTTGTATCGTACATTTTCATCCTAATCACGTTCTCTGTCAATCCTATATGTTGTTTTGTGTTTAACATGTATCTGTATTTTTCAGTGTAAATGGCAGGGTTACAGGGAAATGTAAATTAGCTATCAGTCTGTTAAAGTTGAAATTGATTTAAAATAATTTGGGTTTTGCTTTGTTTGTTAGGTGCTAATACCAACCAATCAGCTGATAATGTTTTCATAGTGTGTACTAGTCAAAGAGTAATATAACAAGAGGTGTCGCTCAATGTATTTCATCGATAAGAGAGATAAGTAGGGAAAGACAGCAGGGCGCGATGGCGCCACTAGTAAATTACAGTCATTCAACGGGAAAATACATACTGTTGCCTGTATTACAGTTGATTCTATGGGTTTCTCATTATAAAGGCTGTAATACAGTCAACTATATGCATTTACTCATTGACAGACTGTAATACAGTCATTTTAATGTATTTTCGTATTGATAAACTGTATTTATTCAACTTATAAACTGTGAACACAAACTTAAATGCAAATATTGAACAATAAAGATTTTTTAACATAATGCAATCAATTTGGAACAATATTAAATAGAAATCACTTATTTGGCGAAATAACCGAATTTTTTAGGTTCTAGTATTTGTTAGAACGTTAAATTTTAATGTTTTTTCGCGAAAAGCGAGCCCGTATCTGATACAGAACAAATGTTAGAATCTAGAAATTTCAGTTATTTCGCCAAATAAGTGTTGTCTATTTAATATTGTTCCAAAATTGATTGCATTATGTTGAAAAATCATAATTGTTCAATATTTGCATTTTAGTTGAATGAATACAGTCCATCAATGGGAAAATACATTAAAATGACTGTATTACAGTCTGTCAATGGGTAAATGCATATAGTTGACTGTATTACAGCCTTTATAATGAGAAACCCATAGAATCAACTGTAATACAGTCAAGCGTATGTATTCTCACGTTGACTCACTGTAATTTACTAGCGGCGCCATCGCCCCCTGCTGTCTTTCCCTCCTTATCGATGGCTACATAGCAGTGGTCTCTCTTGTTGTTTTACTCTTTGCATGTGATATTATCAGCTGTGATAAGCGCCAAAATGAGCGTTGGTTTATTTAATGAGTGTTTGTTCCAAAGAGTTATATTACTCTTTGGTTTGTTCAGTGTTTGTTGTTGTTTGAACATTTTCAATTTTTCATAAATTCTTGAAATTAATGGTTGTATCAATTTTGGCTCAATATTTCAACGTTTTCCATTTTTTACTTCTCAGTTTTATCCAACGGTTCTTTCAAGGGTTTCTTACGGTAAGAAAAGCTTAAGCTTAAACCTAACTTGGTTATATGGTTAATACTTGTGGCTTTGGTTAAGCTGCTTTTGTTTCTGCTCATTTCGACATTTTTTTAACCTCTCAACCTAAATATCTTATTGTTTACAGTTTATTTAAAAATGATGGGCCTGTAGGACTATATCGGATGGATCTAATGGTAAGGTAAACCTTACGTTGAGTAATTTATCCTATTATATTAATTTATTTATTTCATTATTTTTTACTTCCTATTTTTTCTTCAATTATTGCCATTGTGAACAAAGGATGATCAAATTTAGGTCGTGTTTGTTGTTTGATTTTCAAGTCCATCTATTATATATTTTCGACTGCCTGGTTTTTTACTCGATACCAACAGTAATGATGAGTTATTGTCCTGCATTGTTTATTAAATATTGGTATTAAATACTTGCGTGGTTACCTTCATCAAGATTGATAACAAAGTATGGTAAGATAGTCATTTATTATACATTTGTAT